TCACAGGGGGGAAGGTTAGGACGATTCCAGGGGCCTATTTTTACCAAGAGGGAGGTCGCCGGAGTCAATATGCTGTTCAGGGGGCCCAGAAACCATAGCGGCACCCCTGCTTCACTGCTGAGATATAAGCGATAAAGCAAAACGAGTCCCTGACCGTATAATGGCAGACGGCTCGCAGACATTTCCGCTCGTATCTCCCGAACGCGGGAACCCACTGCCTTCAAACTTGAACCACCACTAGAACCCAGTCGGTACCACGCTCCGAGCTTCGCCTCCTCGAGATCGCAAACCCGCAGAATCCAAAATCTGCTATTTTTCTGTTTGTTACTGTGAGGCCCGTTTCACACTAGATGCGCAAGTAAAATATTGCGTTCCTGAAATCCACACTGAATCCTGATATTTCTGGATCAAATGTATCCCATTCCTACTAAAATGTTTTGAACAACACTGAAGGTTCGATCCAGATCAGAACCAACACTGGATTACATGATCAAATCCAATTTTAGTTGCTTTTTTTTCCTTTTTCTTTTAACCAAAACAATTTTAATATTTGATCCAATGGACCCTTTTCACAAGACTGTGATGACGCGTTCAACGGTCATCAGCATCGTAAATCCTCGAAAGTTTTTCATATTTGTATTTTTTTTTTTACTATGGCAACAGATGCTGATGGAGACCTCGTGTGGTGAACCTGAGTAATGACAGAGATCTCAGTCTCATCATTTCAGAACAAACTGAGCTGCTTTATCAGCAGAAATGTTTTTACAGACTGCAGCAATCAGTGAGAGCTTTAAAATATACTTTCAAACCACACATGCAGCTTTAAAAAAAAAAGATGCTTTTTCCTGTGTATTTGACTCTGAGTGCAGCTCATTTTGATCATTGATCATTTTGTGTCAGACCTTGTGGATTCAGACTTGGGTAAAAGTTGACAGAAGACGTGCAAATCGTGACAGATGTTTTCTTTAGTAGATGTTTGTTAATGGTTTTTATGGCCAATTTTTCGTTTTATTATGAGCCCTGCTATTATAAAAAAACAGCTTGTTATTATATTAAATAATGTCTTTATGAAAATATAAAACTGTAGAAACATCAGTCAATGGAAAGTCCCCACCATAACAGTAAAACACATATATATGTGTTAGCTATTTTTGTGTCCTTGTGCAAGGACACACCTGTGAATGATCTAAACTTCCTTTTCTCTCACAGAAGCAGCGCACTGTTCTTATAAATACACTGTGAGCTCTGATGAGTGTCATCCGGTCTCTTCAGAAAACGTGTTGTAATATTAAAATATTACAGTAAGAGAAGTTTGCAGTGATCTACAAGTGTATTTGTTCTTCTTAACACTGTATATTAGTGGAGTACACTAAATATTTCTCACAGCTTCTGAAATTTATGTATTTGCCTAGTTCGTGAATCATTTCTGTTGTATTAACTAAATCAGGTCAGGAGAGTAAAAGATGTAATTAAAGGTTATTTTATGCATCTTATGAAAATGGAAAGACCCATTAGAGTTGAATGTGGAGTTATATTTGATGTTTAAAAGAGTTTCTGTTATGCTGAAGTTTATATATTAAGTTTATTTTGCACTGGGTTTCACTTATTTGATTTGCTTTGCTTTTTTGGATCCAAATCACAAATGCATTTCAGCTGCTATTTATATTGCATATACTCATATACTGAAGCTTGTTTGAAATCAATCTGCCAAAAGCCTTTGATGAGCTCATAAACTCTTTTGATTTCTATGTTTATTGGGTTTTAAACAAAGATGTGTCAAAAATAATTACAGACACTTTTTAGTAATGTGATTTAGAAATGATACATCTTGTTAGTTTGTCTTTTTTTTTTTAGGTATTTAAGAATGAACTGTTGACCCACATTGACCCTCTCTGAAAAGCTTCCTCTTCTTCTTTCTTTGTTAAAGTGGTGTAATTTCCTGGTGTGTCAGTAGAGCTGCTGTCTGTCTGTCAGTGAAGACTCGATCTGACACTCTTATGCTGGAGACTGGACTTTAGAGAAATGATGCTGATCTTTGGACTGATGCTGCTGCTGCAAACTGCTGCATGTGAGTCACTTTCACATCAAACTCATGCTGCTGATCAATCTCTCAAATAAAAAGACTGTAATATTGCTTAAAAGATGTCGTCAGTGGTCTAATACGTTTTCTGGTCTTAGCAGTGTGAATTGGTGGAATATTATAATATGTCAGATGGAAGTGTCTAGTTACAGTAAAAGAGCATCTGTGTAAAATCTAAATAATAGTTTTTATAATTATAGTCTGTATATAGTCTTCTTAGGAAAAGTACAACAGCTGATTTTTGTACCTCTATACAAATAACATTAAGTGATAAAAATGCATTACCTTTTAAAGGATTTTTTTTAATTATGTTAATATGTTCCTTGAAGTTCACCTATAATGTTAATAACGTTTTTTGCACAAACAAACGTACGTGTGTGCGTGTGTGTGTGTGTGTGTGTGTGGAAAAAAGGATTCTTTTCAACCCTCATTCTAACCCTCTGTCTAAAATGACCTGTTTTAAGTGGCGGCTCCTTTAAGGCTCGTCAGTAATCGGCCTCTGTTATGATTGGCTAACATCATTGCATAGGAAACAGTATCGACGCCCCCGCACGATTCGCACCGTGAGTGTTTTGACAACATAAACCTGTCATTTACACACAAAACCTTATGAAATCATTTACTTGCCGTTTCTGATGCAGCTGTCATTCAACAAATGTTTCTTTGAAAACTCTCCATTAGCTACATTGTGCCTCCTTTACAAAACAAAATGCTCCGAACAAACATCTGCTTGTTCCTTATGCTGGGATCCTTCTGATGCCTGTACAAAGTCATGAATGAGCTGTTTAAACCAAACTCTGTCCAGTTACTGTATCCAGTGTAGGCAAGACAGCGGCAGTTACTATAATTCGTTCTATTTGACGTGTCGCATTCAGTGTAAACAAGTGTCAGCCGATAAGCGACTGATCGCCAGTGGGCGGGGCCTATGGTGAAATTATGACTATTCGTCGATGTCTTGCTCTGGAGGCGGTGTTTATGCAAATGTCTGTGCCCTTGTGACATCACATGGCACCTCAGTTCCAAACGAGCTGTTTTTGAGCTTGATTATATAAAAGCTTTGTTTATAATGAGGAGGATATTTTAAGCTATATGCCAAAAGATCAAGGCAAGTTTGATTTCTCATGTCATGACCCCTTTAAAGATCTTGAAATCTAAGCTAACATTTGATGTTGAAAAAGGTGGATCTATTCCTGTTTTCACTGCATCATGTCATTCTGCTACTCCTCTTGTACAGCTCTCTCTCTATATATATGTCTAACATCTAACTTCAGGTGTTAAAGATCAAGACATGAATGTTCATCACTTGTTAATTAATTTCTTTGATCTGAATGATTATTAATCTAATTTAATTTGTGTCTGATTTTAATTAATGATGAGAAAGACATTTATACCGGCAGTATCTCTTTGACTGTCTGTAGGTGTTAGTACATCTCTCTCTCTCTCTCTCTCTCTCCACCTCTATGTGTGTGTGTGTACAGGTTTGCCTATACTAGTACAAAATATCCTCACTAATCTAGTAAAACCTCTTGAACACTGACTGGTGAGCCGGACCTCACTAATTAAAAAGGCTTATAAATCAGTAAAATCATGTTTCATTATAAATTACGAAAAATAAGTAACATTTTAAGAAAAGATGTTTATGCTATAATTCTAGTGTTTTGCACTGGTTTCTGTGAGGGTTGTGTTTAGGGCTTGGGTTAGGAGACAGAAAATATTATTAACTTCATATAAAAAACATGGAGTTCTATGAGAAGAGCTCAGTAATATAGTCAAATAAACCTGTGTGTGTGTGTGTGTGTGTGTGTTGTTCTTCAGGTCTGGATCGGTTCTGCAGGTTTGATCAATCTGATCCCTGTTACGCAGCTCTGGGAGACAAACTCAATCTGCTGACGGTGCTGGACGCTAGAGAATATGACCTGAAGTTACATCACAGAATAAATAACACGCAAGATGATCCAGTTTGTAGAGTAAAGAATGGCAGGATAAAGGAGAAAGAATGTGATCTTTATAATAACAGACCTGAAGTGACCATCATTAATGGGACTGTGGTAATAAACCGTGTGATCAGAGCAGATTCTGGGAATTACAGATTAAGACTCACTAACTCAGACGGCACAGAAACATCTAGAGATCTTCAAGTGATTGTTGAAGGTACAGAAACTCTCTCATCAGACTCATTCCAGTCTCATGTTCTCCAAAGATCTCACTCTCATGCAGATGAATCAGTTGAATCTCTGGGAAGGTTTTTATTCCTGTAGCACACAGTAAATACACTACAGACTCCAGTAATAGTATGAGTCGTGTGGAAGAACAAGATTCTTCTGTGTTTGTCATGTGACTGTCATGTGTCCCTCCCTCCAGCTCCTATTGGCTCAGTGGAAGTGTCAATCATCTGCTCCTCCAATCAGAGGTCAGTGTTCTGCTCCTCTGAGGGGGATCAGCTCCTCTACAGCTGGACTCTGAATGGAGATCCACTGATGGATGGAAACACCACCATTCAGCTAAATGAAGGAACTGATGGAGACATCAGCTGCAGCGTGAAGAACCACGTCAGTCACGCACAGAAGACCATTAGACTAGTCTGTCCTACTGGTGAGCTTCTAATACATGAATGAAGTATTTGCTAGACAACAGCAACAGCAACAAGAGTGATGCAGAATCTCACAAAACCTGTCAAGAACCTGTAAAAGTCACATTTCACCACAGAATCCCCTTATGACAGAATGCAGTATCTCTGAAGCGTATTTTGGTGGATTGTGATGAGTTTAACTCCTCTAGGACTCTCCTTTTTGGTTGATTCTTAAGGAAAGATTATTAATAAAGTGAGTTATTTAATATAACATAAACTTTAAAACCTTTTTGTTTTTATTTATTGTTTATTTATTTAATTGTACTATTTTTCACTTGTTTCTTGGCAGTCGCTGGCATGGCACTGAATTATAAATAACAAACAAACATTTCACCCCAAAATCAAAAGAAATTATATTTAATATAGGAATATTTTACAACCATTCATTTGATTTGCATTGTTATTTTTATGACAATTAAAAACATTCATACTCCCGAAGAAATTTTCTTTACTGTAATGTTTTAGAATTATTATTATTATCATTTTTTTGTAATTGCAATTATTTACATTCAACATTCAATGAAACATGATAAATATTACTTACTAAATACAGTTTTGAACTGAAATGTCTTTGACATGTTTCATGAGATTCAGACGAACCGATTCTCTCAACTGCCCACTTAATTCTTCAAAATGATTGATTATCTCTGCAGTAATTAATATTAAAGGGGTCATATGATGTTGCTAAAATGAACATTATTTTGTGTATTTTGTGTAATGAAATGTGTTTATGTGGTTTAAGGTTCAAAAACACATTATTTTCCACATACTGTACATTATTGTTTCTCCTCTATGCCCCGCCTTTCTGAAACGCGTCGATTTTTACAAAGCTCATCGTTCTGAAAAGCGAGGCCGGGGGCTAGAGTATGCGGGGGCCGGCAGAGAAAGGAAAAATTGAAATCGCATCATAAGACCCCTTTAAGAGAGAAAGCAGGTGATTCTGTGCTGATGTTTTATTTCAGGACCAACTACTGCAGCTGTGACCTCTAGTTTGACCTCTACGTCGACACAGACATCAGAATATGATACGAGTTTCTCAGGTATGAATGTCACCTACACTACAGCATTTTATTCCAGGATGTGTGAGTGCTGAGCTACAACAAATAATGTAAATTACAATGAAACCTAATAATAATAATGGCAGCGAGGGATCTATAGGCTCTATTTTTTTTTCTTTCCTGAAATTAAAATACCTCAATAAAAAAAGATGCGATTGGCTTTTAAAAATCCATTTGCGCAGTTGTCATCTTCTATAGAGCAGGGAAATAACCAGCCAATGCATTAATAGAGAGAGATTTCTCTGCTGATGACGACTGCGTGAGCGGAGCAAAGGAATCAGTGTGGAACTCATCAAAGTCATTAAATACAGCTACTCCAACCAGAACTACTTCTAGACACATCCTGGATAAGAGCATTCTGATCAAACCTGCCAGATCTTACAAGTTCAAGATGCACTGAATCCGGTAAAACGCATTTAAATGAAAATGACCCCATGATTTACTCACTCTCAAGCCATCGTAGCTGTCTATGACTTTCTTCTTTCAGACGAATACAATCAGAGTTATATTAAAAAAATGTCCTGGGTCTTCCGAGCTTTATAATGGCAGTGAATGGGTGTTATTTTTCAATAGTCCAAAAGAAGTCCAATAAAGTGCATCCATCCATCATAAAAGTGCTCCACACGGCTCCTGTGGGTTAATAAAGGCCTTCTGAAGCGAATCGATGCGTTTGTGTTAGAATAATATCCATATTTAAAACTTTATAAACCGTAATCTATAGCTTCCACTAACTGTCATAGTTGTGTTCACGAGAGAGTGGCGTTCCAGCGGATGACGTAGGAATGCAGAAGCGCAGAGGAGAGAGCAATTAGAAGTCACGAATCATGAATTAGAAGTACAAAACGAGGATTAGTAAAGAAAAATGTCAGAGGATTTTGATATAAGCCAAGAGGAGACTGGTTTTCCTTTGCCAAAGTAAGGAAACTTTGCTTTCTTTGCTCCTACAAACACAAATAAATGATATAAGAGATTAATTTCACAGTGCAGGCAGCTTCATTAATTATAGCGGGGATTATTTTGTAAATGCTTAAACTCGCACTAGACTATAATCAGTGATAATATTAGATATGATAGTGTTCTATGCTTGCTTTCTGTATTATTCACTGTTTGAATAACTGTGTATTTAGTAACTTTAGTAAAACTTTAGTAAACATTAGTAAATTAGCAACTTACAATGTTTGTGTCAAATTGTGATCATGTTAAACACAAATTCAGTCATATTAAAATATTTTATGACATGACACTCATGTCTGGTAGGCTACGTGACTATATGTGCTGATAGATTACACTAACATTAGGCTTATTTTAGTTTTGCCCTGCAGTTTGTTCTCCCTCCGCATTCCCACTAATGTAAATCAGTATTTATATAGTATAATAGTAATACATTTCTCTCTCATACACGTGTCCCACAAAATCATATCTACATCCTGCAATGGAGCAATTACCAGGTGGTCATACTATTTGTTCCTGATTTTAGTTCATGATGTCTGTAGATTTTGGTACATTTCATTGTGTGTGTGTGTGTGTGTGTGTGTTTTGTTCTTCAGGTCTGGAGTTGAACTGCAGTTTTAATCAGTGTGATCCCTGTTACGCAGCTCTGGGACACAAACTCAATCTGCTGATGGTGCGGGACGCTAGAGAATATGACCTGAAGATAATAAAGAGAATAAACTACACACAAGATGGTCCAGTTTGTAGAGTAAAATATGGCAGGATAAAGGAATGTGATATTTATTTTCTTATTTACTCTTTTTCACTTGTTTCTCGCTGTCTCAGTCGCTGGCATGGCACTAAATTATAAACAACAAACAAACATTTCACCTCAAAATCAAAAGAAATCATATCTTGCATAAAGGAAATAAGGACTATTTTACAGCTATTCATTTCATTTGCATTGCTATTTTCATGACAATTAAATACACTCCTACTCCCTAAACTTGCTTTACTGTAATGTTTTAGAATTTAGTTTTATTTATTTTTTTGGTAATTACAATTATTTACAGTGATATTTTGTTACTTGATTCTTATTACTACAATTGCCTACAATACATTTTTATTTGATGCAATATGATACATTTCTCTCAGGTACATTTTATGATGATAATATGATGATTTTAGTTATTTTATACATATTATGATTAACATAGATTTTTGCATTCATGTGTTGAGAATTATTTTCATTTTTTGCCTTTTCCTCATATGTCAGAAATTAGATTTGAGGGGTAAATGTCACAATGCAAAAGGGTTTAATGCCCCTAAAAACATTCAATGAAACATGCTAAATATTACTTACTAATTACAGTTTTGAACTGAAATGTGACCTGGACGTGTCCTTGACAGGTTTCATGAGATTCAGACGAATCGATTCTCTCAATTGGCCACTTAATTCTTCAAAATGATTGATTATCTCTGCAGTAATTAATATTAAGAGAGAAAGCAGGTGATTCTGTGCTGATGTTTTATTACAGGACCAACTACTGCAGCTGTGACCTCTAGTTTGACCTCTGCTAGGGTTGCCAATTTCAGCAAAGGAAAATAAGTGACAATCGTTGTTTTTCATAGAAAACGAGGAACACACACACACATATATGTGTGTGTGTGTGCATGAGTGCGTAT